CCAGCCCTGCTGTCTCTGTTATCATCTTAATCAGAGAAACAGAAATATCTACATTCCTGACTTGTTTTTGCAGCCTGCATTTTGGAACTCACTGTTATGAAACAAACCTGGCACAGACTTCTGCTATGACTTCTGGAAATATGTGCTTTTTTCCTGCACTATCCACATTATCTTGGTGCATCCTTTTAAGACGACTAGTATAGGTCAAAAGTTAGCTTTTCTCTTATGTAAGGGCCACATGGTTTGTTTGCTTGTTTTTTCTGGACTCTGGGGGATACCCTGATAGCACCCGCCATGAAGCACCATCTAGATGCCAACATGAGCACTTAACATCAACATGGATGCTTAACATCAGCCAAGCAGGACTACAGAAAACATTTATTTCCAAATAGCTACAGTTGGCTTTATCATTCTAGTGGGTGGAGTAAATTTTATTCATCATTCTCTGATAGGAGGATTTGCCACGTTTCCCCAACCAATAGGAACCCTGAGTTTCAAAAGAAGGCAATGGGAGAGGGAAAATGGTGAATACCTGGAAGCCCTTTATTTAATGAATCGGGAGAGAAACCCCTGACTTGTATTTGCAGCTTTAATTTGGGAACTCACTTTTAAGAAACAGAATTTGCCACGGCTTTGGGAACTTTTAATGTTCTTTTCTGCATTATCAACACTTTCTTGGTGCACAGTCTGGTGAAGACCAGTATAGGCTGAGAGCTAGCAACTTTATTTTTTTAGTTTTTTTAAATGGTCTAATAAAGATATTACCAGCCCTTGCTGTTGTATTGTTGTATAAGGACCACATGGCTTTGTTTGTTTCTTTTATCTGAAGAAGGGGAGTCTGGCCTATCCAGGTGGCAGGTAAACCTACTGTGAACTAAAACCTACAGCATGTTTGGCTCTCATGTTCTAAACACATCTGAACAGAGCTCTGTAATAGGACAAGGACAGCATCACTGTGGCTGTTGGTTAGACCCTTTACTAGGATCATAGGGACTCATACTCATGTTGCACCAGGTGACTGTAACCAGTCACTGCAGTTTTCTTTAACCTATCTGTCAGGGTTGTTATAAAGATAGAGAGAGGATGTATGATCTCCTTGGTGGAGTTCTATGGAAGAAAGGTCTTTCTTTGTTCATGGACAAATTAATTGCAGTACTATTAATACGTATGTCAGATAATTTTCACAGGCAATATGAAAAGCCTTTGAGGGTAGCTAATATCCAGTCTTCCACAGCACTTGTTGAGTGGCACAGAGTATGCTGACATAGGTGTGAAGGTGCTTGTTCTTCTCCACACTCACAAAGGATTGTGTTGATGTAAAAACCTCATTTTCTTAGGCTCTCTTTGATTACAGTTTCTATCAGTCCTAGGTGGAACAGCAAAAAGGTGAAGGAAGGTGGGGATTGCAGTTTAACAGCACCTGAAGGGCCACATATTCTCCATCCCTGTAATAAGGATTATGTGTTTTCCTTGTGATGGGCATGTGTACACTTTTAAAGTCATTAAGGGAGAGTTTCACGGGATGATACTTTTTCAACAAAGGATTCCACCATGTCTCAAGCCAATGATTTTCAGAGGGCAGAATGGAATGTTTGCACAAAGAAATGCTTTTCTGAACAGTAGGAAAAAAGATCTCAGAAAGCAGCATTGTAGCCTAGTCTTGGACACGTTCACTTTCTGTGTATAAGAATTTTGCTAGTAAATGGCAGCAGTGACTGGAATCCTGTTAAATAACTATGTGGGTGCAAACGATTATGATGATGTCATCAGGCTGCAATGTTACTCTTTAATTTAATTTAATTTGAGGTTTCCAATTCCCTCCCTTCAGGTTTTGAGGCTCCTTGGGGATCCCTTTTGCCCTTGGAAAACCTCAGGATGGGGAGGAGAAAGGGATGGAAGCCTTTAATATCAGAAGATTACTGTTGGATTGCTGGCAGCAAACAAGATTCCAGTGGTAATAAGATCCAGTAACTATTTTCCAATATTAAAGCTCCTCCCATGCCAAGGCTCCCCAAAACTTCCCTGGGTAAAAAGAGAACCCCAGGGAGCATCAGAACCTGAAGGAGGGGTAGGAAGCTTTAAACTTAAGGAGAACATCACCAGCCGAGGATGATAGCAGTCATAATGCTAGTGGAGTGGTGCCAGCCAGATTTCAGGCAGTGAATCATACAGACTGCTACCTGCTACCAGCTCAGTCACTGAGGTTTCACCACATCAGAGAGGATTAGCAACCCAGGTACTAGATGTAGATGGTGGCACCTTTAACAGCAGCTAAAATCTAACCTTCAGTCTCACTAGGCTGCCATTACTACTGTCCACCCTGTTACCTGGTTAACACTGTATTGCTACTGGCCATGGTAATAAAAATGGAGACTGCCTTGGAAATCACCTCTTCTATTCTCTCTCTCTCTCTCTCTCCTTCATTAAGGGCCTGAGAGAAGTCCTCCATGGTCTCTCACCACTGGCTAAGCCCACAAGAGATAATGGGAAGCCAAGAGCATCTGCAGGATGGCAGCATGCCCACTCCATTATTAAATGAATCTTTAAACAGATGACTTCCTCAGATGCAACGATTGTTGCCCGAGACATTCTGCCTGTGGTTATTTGTCTATAAGAAAATATAGTTTTCCTGATTATTACAACCCTGGACAAACAGTAAAGCCAACACAGTTATCAAAAGTTTTGCAGACTGTCATACATCTCTGCCAGCTCTTTGGAGTCTGTAGGTCAATTGTCTTGAAATGTTGATCCAAGCAACCAATGTACATGTTTTCTTATAGGCAAATAACCACAGGCAAAGCTTCTCAGACAATGATAACTCATCTGTTTTAAGATTCATTTAACACAGGAGTGAGCATGCTGCAATCCTGCACTGAAAACGCAGACAGAAAAATATCTTGGGAATGGTTCAGGTATCACAGTTGCCAGCACGTTCCAGGACCCTTTTTTTCATACAAAAGATTCTTTCTGACAGTTAATTTGCAAACTCCTGGAAAACCAGGATTATGAGATGTTCTGATTACTACTTGACTTTTATGCACTCGTCTTGTGGTGGTTTTGAAGGTATTAGCTTGATGTAAGGTCATGGAATTTATTCCAACTGTGGGACTGTTGTTTAACAATCATCGCCTTGGGGTCATGTAATCTTGTGGGCAGGAAGACCCTAGTCGGCCTTTAATTTTCTCTTTATGCTTTCTTCAAATTAATGATCCACACACACACACTAATAGAAGGGAGAAGACTGCAAAAGGATTTTGATATTTTTGGGTTAAATAGGGAAGAGAAAAGAGTAGCAAAAACCAGGCAGCCACATGGCTCTTTCTTTCTCTAAACAGAAGAATTTCAGAAGGAAGACAAGCATGGTCATCAACTATTCAGCAAATGCAAAATCTCTGTGCTCTAAGAAGCTCTTAAACAGTGGGCATCCACTATCAAAAGTAAATTCATTTTCTACAGCTTGAACAAGTTTCCACTTACCAAACACTAATGAGGGCTACAATTTCTAAAGGATAAAAATTCACTGTGATCAAAAGTTTCTCTTGATAAAATATTAAATATTCTGTAGGCAAAGTGGGATGATGTTGATACTACTGTGATCATGATGTCTCTCTGTGTGCATGTTTTCCTCTCTTCTTTTCAGATCCAGTAATATTTATGACTCTGACAGCCTAATGCCCAGACCTTCTGGGCCGGCAAAGAAGTTCTTAGAACTCAGCATATCTGTCACAACACTGTTGCACCATCTACAATTCTTGACATTCCACCAGTGTTGCAAAGATGTTATGGCAGAATTTCAAGCCTGTACACTGCAGCAAATGTGCATGACTAGGATATTAATGCACATAGGAAGTGGTATAAATATATGTTAACAAAGATCAGCTCTGCCTGTACGCTTACCAGTTGCTGAATGTTTAATAAATGTAGTTCTCTCAAGAGAAGTAATAAATGCACAGTTCAAATATGCATGTTTAATTTGAACTGCAGTCAGTTTTAAAAAGCAGGCATAACAACCCAAAATGAACAAATGGCCATGATCTAACCAAAGAAATGTATCCGTTTTCTTGTGTCTTTTACTTCCTGAGCAGTCATGCATTGCAATTATGTGACATATATCCCGTGTTGTGCATTCTGACATGTTTTTGAATTACCGTAACATTTCCCCAAATGTGATGCGATATGACCAGCTACACTTTGGTACCAGAATATTTCCCTCTGGGTTGTTTATGTCTCCGGGGGCCCGTCCCCCTCCTTTTAAAATAAATTGTGTTACATCAATGGTTTGCCAACATCTCCTTGATGGGCAAGAGTTTCTCTGCTATGTTTGTACCTCTTGCAACAGAGGAATTCATAGTGAGGCTTTGTTTTCATTGCAGCTCTACCACGAGGTCCCCAAGAGGAAAACATGAAAGGGCTCAGGGGGAGGTGCACCACCTGGTGGAAGGACTCACAAATAACTGAAGCGCAGAGGTCAATGGCATACCTTTTCCAATGCATCAACACCCCACTAGCTAAAATTAAAATAAAATAAAATAAAATAAAATAAATAATTAATAATAATTAACTATAACAATTAATAATGCAGGCAAATGACATCATTGGTGGAAGCAACACAAGGCAGCGTGCCAGAAAAAGTATGGGTACAGCCATGCACACTGAATGCCACTGTAAAATTGTTCTGTGATCAATCCTGTAACAAAAAAGTAGAAGCCTCACAGCAGGTGGGGTTTGATGCGGAGATAGCACAGAGGCAGACCAAAAGGTTCAGTAATGGCCTTGCACCATCAGGCCACAAAATAAACAAACAAATAAAGTGAAACCAATGAAGAACTGGGAAACTTTTCACTGGTGTGACCATGGTCTCAGAAATATAACATTGTTATAAGAGTATACACACCTACCAGTTCAGACATCTAAAGTGTTTGTGAGGTACAAACATTCTTTTGGAAAAATATATGAATTCCAAGGTCAGAAGGCAGAAGAGAAAATAAAAGGAATCACTTCTTGATTTAATTTATTGATGTCATTTCTTACTAGTCAACACAGTGTTAATTTCTGCAAGTAACAAAACACCACAGTATCTGCTATTCTATTTCATGCATTTCCCCCCCTCCACCACAACAAGTTGTCAGAGCCCATTCTCTCTGTGGCACTGTGCAGGTCTCATGTTAATATATGTTAAGCCATATTTACATCAGCATTTACAAAAAACATCAGATGGCAGACTTCATTACTCTTGAGTGCATTCCTAATGTTGGCTCTTTGGCATTCCATAGGCTTCAGCCGAAGGGCTGGCTGTTCCACCAACACTGCATTTTAACCTTTGCTCTTAAAAAGATGAAGGGCACGATTTTAATCAGGTCTCAATTTAGCTCTAATTATAAAAAAAACATAATTAGGAATTATCGCCTAATTGCAATTACTTGAGGAGGAAGTCTCATGTTCCTAAGCAGTGACCCATGCTACATTATCATTCTGGTATTATGGATTTGTATTTGCATTGGGAAGACGGCCAGCAAAATTAAAAGGTAATTAACATGCTTCTTTGAAGTCCAGTTGTCAAAGTCATTGACACTGTAGATCAGTAAATTAGAATCAAACTATCACTACCATTGCATATTAGAAACCTTTAACCAAAACAGTGACCATTAATTTTATTTGTGTGTTGATGGCACATCCAGCCAGCCAGAGAAGTTCTAAACCAGGGGAAGACAATGTACGATGTACCTGATACATCTTTGTTTCCCCCTTCCCCTAAAAGAGATTATGTTGCTGTTTGAAGACCATCATCCAGTTCCCAGAAAGGATGAATAATAAGGATCTGAAATAATATTTACCATATTCAGCTTGTAGAGAACACATTTGTGTGTTCATGCCACATCCATCAGTCAATAATGTCTAAATCATGTTATTTAAAAGACATTTCTCCTTTCAAAATAGATGAAAACGACAGTGTTCTACCTCTTCTACAAGTTAGACCATCTAATGTTTCAAGGCACCACCAAAGTAGATTTTTTAAATACCTGCAAGTAGTCTGATACACTATTGCAATTTTTAGAAGCAAATCTATAAAGAAATGTTTCATATAATACAATAGGCACAAGTCTTTATAATAAATAGAAAACAAATTCATACAAAACAAAAGCACGTTGAGCACCGTTGGGGTAGGGTTGTCTCTCTTTCTTGTTCTAAAGACTATGTAAACTGCCACTTACAAAAAAAAATGAACAGTGAACTCTCTCTATAATTTCATGTTTCAGTCCTTTGAAGAGGAACATTATTAAGTTAAAGGAGTATCCTTCTGTACAGCAGGCTCCCTTACTGGTTGCAACGGACTCGGCTGCTCATGTAGATGAGCATGAAGATTTTCAGATGTTAGGAGGGAAGAATTAAAGACGATCTCACTTAAATCTGACTTGATGGATATCAAGTGTGGGTCATCGTAGCTCAAAGGCTCTTCCGTTAAAACTTGTGTGTTCTCTCGTGTCATTGCCACATCAGACGGTGACTTCCTTTTCATTCGTGTGTACGATCTGTCAAGGTTCTCCATGCCTTGATCAGTTTTCTGAAATCGTCCGAAGAACCAGATAAAGAAACCAAACAAAGCAAAAGCCAGTAGAGATGGAATGAAGGCCAAGCATTTGACATCTAGGCTTGCACCAATGTATCGGCTGTGCAGGAACATATCTCCTTCAGCGTAGGTCCTGTTGGTCAAAGGGTTAGTGTTGTTCGACCTCCATTCCCAAGACAATTTGGTTCTGTTGAGATCCTTTAAACTTTCTGAGTCTTCCACAGTGTAGATTTTTTGCCCAGGACCAATATACTGACCATATTCATCTGGTTTGTAAAACATTTGATTCTTCCACATGTTCAGATCCAAGATTAACACAAGAAATATGATGCCATAGTTAAACCATTTGCCTGTAGCAGAAAGAAAAGCAATAAAGAAACATTATTATTAGATAAGTCATGTTTACAAAGACAGGAACTGAAACAGTACAGAAAAAGTCACTTAAAAATAATAATAAGAGAGCCCTTTCAATTAATTTGCACAATGAAGTTTTAATTGAATTCTTAGAGTCAGATTTGTAACTGAATAAGTTTTACTATTTCAGAATGATGTCTAGCCTTGTAATAAGTCATTTGGGAATATAAGTCACTAGCACAATCACTGAATTCATGCAGCCATTTATAGGTGACCTGTGGGTTAAAAGCACAAGGAAATAAAGTGTAGATCAATATGCTGAAAGAGCAGCCTTTAAAGAATTTTAAAAATAGTTACACAAAAATACTTCCCCAAAAGGAAAAACCACACCAAAAGGGCTGTCCTATAAGTTACACATCATCTAATCGTAAGTTGCTACTAATCATGCATTCATGTAGAATTAGTACTGTGGTGAAAATGAGCTTTTATGGAACTTGGATCAAGGAAGGTAGGAGGCTACCAAGCAGCAGACAACAGACGTGCAAATATTGTTGTCAAGGATCCAGTCGCACATGCTACACGGCTGATGAATTGTATTCCTCATTCTTGACTCAGCTGATATGCTTTGGACATTTAACTGTTGACATCTATTTATCTCTTTCTTCATCTTTCCCTTTTACTATTCCAAGTGATGTTATCTGCTTTCCTCCATATCTTCTTCTCCAGTGTCATGTTCCCTTAATCCTAATATGAATTGAACACACTCTTAGACTACATGGGCTAGAGTTGGCATTTATGCAAATACTGTTAAATAAATGGTTTATGCCAGCATTCATTTAAGGTCTACTCAATAGACCTAACAATTGGGTTTTGCCCAATATGTTCCATAAGGGGTCAGTCTGTTGTAACAGATGGAGTGTTGGACAGTCAAGAGACCTGGATTTAAATCCAAGTCAGTCATAAAACTCTCTAGGGAGTAGGCTGGCAATGGTCAACTGCTTCTTGATCATCTCATATATGTCAAAACCCTGTGAAGGTCATTGTAAGTCAAAAGTGACTTGATGACACCTAACAACAAGGTTTACTTTTTACAAACTGCTGAATACAAGGGACCACATGATCACTTCTTTTTGTTAAAGTGTTCCTAAGTGAATCCACTCAGGTTTTGGTGCCTAGGTTTTGGATGACCAGGTAGAGGTACCTAAGTGTCTAAGTCCTCCCTAATGTCATGCCAGCACACTCTGTAAAGTAGCTGCAGTTAGCCATAGCAACTCCACTTGCATGTGGATAAAAATCCAGAAGGGTCTTGGTCTAAAAAAATAGTAGGTGTGTCTAGGTGGCACAGATATATCAGAGAGAATATTTAACTAATTGGTTTAATCTACTAATATTTGCCACATTCCAAGTGCCAAATTCCATTAACATGACAACTTATTAAGATCTTGATTAGTGTAATGCTTACTCATGCCTTTAATAGTTTTAGTTGATCTGTAACCAGCAGTGACAAGAAGGAAAAATTTTGAGCAATGGCCAGGAGAAGCAGAAATGTTGATTCTACATGAGAGGGAAGGAATGGGATGCACTTGTGTGGTAGTGCATGAAAATGTCCAGCATATTTTCAGAAGCACTTAAAATGATTTTCTTTACATTAAGAATGCTCCATCTTTGATTTACCACGTGATCTAGTAGTCACTTGTTGCTTTATTACATTATTGCACTGGATCAGTGCCCTCTAACTGGGATAAAGACACTTAAACTTGAGTCTTCTAAAATCTTAACTATTCAAGATTTTCTGACTTAAATCAGCACAATGCCACTTTAATTGTCATGACTTTATCTTAGGAAATCCTGAAGTAAGGGCTCTCAACACAGATAATTAAAATTATATACAGTGACCCTCAGTCACTCTTCTCAGGTTACCATGAAAATTGTGAATTAAGGAAGTTCATTAGTGCTCTCCTGCAGAGAATTCTAATTACCTTGCCAAAGTAAAAATCCCATAATTCCCTAGCATAAAGGCATGACAGTTCAAGTGGGATCAAAATGATATAAATGTATACACCATGTAATAGTCAGCATCTACAGAAGGCAACAAAAGTAAATTCCAAGTTCCTCATTTGATGCAGAACATGTCTATTATTCAATTTCAGGGCTGAATATTCCATGGTGGTGTATATTCTGGTGCAAAAATCTTTGAGAGCTATATACAGTCTCTAGGCCTTCCATTCCCTCGCCCTAAAATTAAGAAAAAGGCTCAAATGGAGGGGCTGTTCTTGTTTTGTCTGACTTTCTAGAAGCATGTGCTCAAAACGCCGCTCTTCTGTTTTCTCCCTCATCTCAGCTACCCTGACTGCAAAAAGCATCAAATGTTCCCATACCACCAGAAAGCATTTTCCAACATGTTTGCAAATATGCAATCCTGTACACAGATGAACAAAACAGGAAGCCTTCTGAGATTTCTGTAACAATCGCTCTGCTTGGATTACTTTGTTTTTACCTTTGACCTTTCTATTTTTGCCTGCAGGGTCCTGGGGGCACCTCTGTGTCTAGAGTGCTCCAGACACGCATCTTCTGCTTTAGCGGAAGCTGTCAGCCTCTCAATTCAAATGACAAGTACCAGTGAGATACTTTTCAGGGCCTGAGAGAGAAATTACTTACATCACTGGATACCTGAATCAGTGCAGTTTATTCTGTTGTTGTCATGTACCATCAAATGCTTCTGACTTATAGGGACCATATGAATTAACTACCTCATGAAGTATGTATTATTAGCAGCCCTGCTTACAACTTGCAAAAAGGAGAAGGCCTTCTCTGTTGCTGCTCCCAGACTTTGGAACTCCCTCTGACAGGAAGCCAGGTTTTCTCTTCAGGCAAACTTTCCCTCAGTGGTGTTTTTAATGGACTCTTATGCCTTATTGCTTTTTTAAAACCACTTTTAGTGTGGTATTTGCTTGATTCTTTTAGGTACTTGTATACTTACTGTTTTTAACTTTAGGCAGCCAGTTTCTAAAGGAAAACTTGACAGAAGAGAAAGGGCTTCACCTGCTTGCAGAAGGACAGCAAAGTACAGTAAAAGCTAAGCTATCTTAGAAGATTCCCTGGAAAAGAACCCTGATGTTGGGAAAGTGTGAGGGCAAGAGGAGAAGGGGACAACAGAAAACGAGATGGTTGGACAGTGTCATCGAAGCTACCAACATGAATTTGACCCAGCTTCGGGAGGCAGTGGAAGACAGGAGGGCCTGGCATGCTCTGGTCCATGGGGTCATGTGAAGAGTTGGACATGACCAAATGACTAAACAACAACAAAGCTATCTTAACTCAAGATTGCCCATTTTTGTATGACTCCCAATAGCCAGAGTCCTGTTGTTGATTTACATTGATGTGTCTTATTGCATAAATCATTGTAAACAATTACTGCTAATAAGTTGCCATGTGCATTTCCAGTCATGTGTAAGTCATGAACTAGACTTTGCACACAGCTAGGAATGTGAGCTTATCGATTAGTGGCAATTTACCACAACAATCTACAAGATTACGGTTATGCCACTGTAAATCCACAGCAGGATTCTAGCCAATGTTTCTTGGTATTATTGTTTTTCCAGTAAGCCTTGTATTCCCATGATATGCCCATAATATTGTTTTTCTCCTCACTTTTGTTTTTTGCTTCTAGTGAGCATCAAGATTGATTTGATTTAAAATCCAATTATTTGTCTCTCTCTCTCTCTCAATCTCTTTTGTGGCCCATGGTGTTCAAAAAGCTATTCTCCAACAGCATATTTTGAATGAATTGATTTTTCCCCATCTGCTTTTTTTTTTATTGTCCAACTCTTATTTTTGGACAGTAATCAGGAGTGACATTATACGGATGATCTTGTCTTGGTTTCCAGTGACATGTTACTACACATAAGGATATTTTCTAACTCCTCCATAGATGCCATTCAAAGACTCATTCTTTTGATTTCTTAATTGCAGCTTCCATTTTGATTTATGATTGAACCAGGGTGTGGAAAGTCCTTAATAATTTTGATTTCTTCTTTGTCAACATTAAAGTAGTATAATTTTTTAACAAACATTATTTTCATCTTCTTAACATACAACAGTAATTCTACTTTTGTACTTTTTCCTTAACCTTCATCAATAGTCATTGAAAGTCTTTTTTATTTTCTGAAAGTGATATGGTGATTAGGGGATTTTCATATTTATACAAAAGAAAAAAAGCACATGAAACAATTTTTTTAAATTTTTGTGTTCCTTAGTTGTTTTGTAAAATGGAAGCTCTGAAGCAGAAATAATTTACATTTACAAAAGGATACACTAAAGTTTTGTGTATTTTTTTGGGTTTTCCTCTTTCATTCAAGCTTTCTTTCTCCCTTTGTATGTCAGATCATCTGATAATTTATTTATCCAATAAGGTCACAATAGCTATTGCAAAGACATGGTGATGTGACCAACAAGGACTCAGCAGCCAATGAGAAGATCAGTAGGAGGGCGAATGTTGAGTCTGTAGAAGGGCCAGGGTCCAAGTTAGGAGTGCCCTTTTTGATTTACAGCTCCTTGGGCAGGGGAATCATTGTTTGCTGCTGAGCACTTAGTGCCCTCCATCTTGCTTTTACTGCCTACTTGCATCTCCATCTTGGATCCTCTCCTTCTTTGTTCTTTTTCCTTGATTTTTTATGGGACCCCTCCCCTCCCAATGTTTTGGCCGAATTATTTAAGACACTAGCTTGGAGCAAAGGAGGTTCTAGCCAGGACAATACGAAAAGAAAAATCATGGATGTGGGGCTTGGGGGTAGTTGTTATTTCAGGCCAAAAGGTGCCTGAGTGGTGCCTGTGACCACTTGAAGAGTATGTGACCTAGTTAACATGAAAATAAGTAGAAAGGTCAGCACCTCCTGGGAAGGGAAATCACAAACAGCACCTATGCAACGTCTCTATGGTATTTCACATCACTTCTTTGTGTTATGTGGTGGGAGAACTTGTTCACCTTTCATGTGAT